GTTTTGAGTCTGTTGCAAGATTCTATTTCTTCAACTTATTGGAGATGAGAAGTTGATGCCTATTTGTCCTAGTCACTGGTTTTTTGGTTATAGTATTGTTCATGACCCTTATGCAATCTCAGTCTTGGCATACCAGGAAGAACAACTGATTAGAAAAATTATGTCACCTTGGCTAAAGTAGTGCAATCAGTAATAACAATAGCATTAAACACATTCTAGAAAATGACAAACTGTGGTAAGTATTAATTTGTCACCTTTAGGCATATGAACTATATTTGTGGTTATACAACAAAATCTAAAATGAACCAGAAAATTGTATACAGTAAATATGCCCTCAATATGGCAATTTTACCCTCAAGGGAATAAATTTAGAGTGTTGGAGGAAAAATAGAGAAATAGAAGAAAAAAAAGAGATTAGAAGCAAGGCTGAAGGATTATGTGAACTTTAAGAAACTGGTGGAGAAGACATGAAGGAAAGAGAGAAGGAAGAAATAAGAACAGGAACAGACCAGATCAATAAGAAAACTAGTAAAAATGTTCAAATTCATGTAAAAACAATAACAAACAATCAAGAAAAAAGAAAACAGGGCCAGGGATTTAGCTCAGTGGTGCTGCCACTTCAGGGCATGTTTCTGCTGTAACTGGTAGACAGAATGGGCAGATCCATGTTGATTAATCCAAGCAAGTCAGCCATAGATTTAAGGTGGGGTAGCAGATAATACTAACAAGCCTGCACCTTAGGTCCACTGGAATTCAAACTGGTTTCTAGCTGTGAGGCTGGAACCCAGTGTGTGAAGCCTGCAACACTCAATATGCCTCCCGAGGGCTTAAATTCAGCTCCCCACAGTCTTGAATTTGGCTCCTTGACCTTCTGCTAACTTGAACTCCATTCTACCTCACCCTGACCTCGTTTGACCTGCTAAATGGAGCTAGCCTGCAGTTACTCTGAGTTCAGAGCTCATTTGGCCTCTCTCCAAGATGGTTACTGGTCAATTGCCCTCTCCCAGGAAATGTCCAATACTAAATAACTCACCAGATACTGTAGTCTGCTGTGTTCACTGCTCCATTCTACTAGCACATTTCTCTGCAGTGGCCTCTGGGGTCACTAGTAGTCACCATGCTTCTGCAAGTTTGAGCTGCCTCTCCCACACAGTGGGCCTAGGCTCAGGAAGAAAGCATTGCTTACTACCTCCTTCTTTTCTGTTGAAGTCTCTCTCTTCACTGTCCCTGTGGGCTTCAATTCTTGCTTCAGATCCTTATCAGGGAACCACTTCACTCCTTCTTTTCCTCACATTGCTATATTCCAGTGTTTAGATACCAAATCTCAGAGAGGCTGTTTCTCTGATGTTCACCATTCTGACATCTTCCTGGAAGTAATTTGAAAAAGAATTTTACATAGCAAAAAACACATACATTTAACACTTAAGAAATAAAATATCACCCATTTTTTTATTCCCAAATACTACTTTTCAAAAAATTCTGCTTTACTGGAGCCAGTAGTCATCAAATTTAGCTGTACTTTAGATTCTCCTAAAGCTTGTAAAAATACTGACACTCAGTTTTCATGCAAACTAATTAAACCAGAGCTTCTGGAAATAGACAGCAATGGTTCAAAATTCTTTAAGTGACTCCAACATGTGACCAACTCCAAGAGGCTGCAACTGGAGGTGGGCACAGGGCAGGTGGGATGGCCCTGCAGATTGAGTGGCCACAAGATCTATTTCCTGTTCCTGACCAAGGATCAGCACTTTGCTGGTGGAATCTCATCTGTCCTGCCCATTTTGAAACTGGCAGGGCCTTCCCACATTTTTGGGAAGGAGCTGCCACCTGCTGGCCCAGTCAAGAACAACAGGCACTAAATTTGCTGCACAAGGACCTTTGAACCAAGTGTTATGGTTGCAACACTGAACTTGGAGCTCTTCCTCCTGTCTACTGGAGGCCACTCCCCAAAACAGCTCTAGGATGGGCAGGGCCAGGCAAGAAGAGCCATTTTGTTTCTCTTAATTGTTCCATGCATTTATCATTAGTTATTACTAATGCAAAAAAAGAGGACAGTAAGTTCAGTCTTCAATTTCATAATACGCACTTCAGGGAAAAATGTCACCTAGGTGGATCAACAGCATCCCAGATTCCCAGCAGATTCATACCTGGAGGAGGTGGGCTTCATACTCCTGATGGAAAGGGTCTCATTCCTGGAGGGGCTATGCTTATTAGTGTTCCTCAAGTGGGGGGAAACACAGTTGGTGAGCCCATGGGTGATCTAACACCATGTGCAGGAGCCATAACACCCAAAGGCAGGGTTGCTCCATCTGCAGGTGGGACAGAGTCTACCATTCTGGGTGGGTACAGGGTTGGGGCTCCAGTAATGCCAGCAATACTAGCAACAGCAGCAGCTGCTACACTGCCTTTTTCCTGTAGAGTCACCTCAGCTCTTCAGGCAGGGCCTAGTACTCTACTCAGAGCCTGGGGAATTTATACATTCACCTGCCAATTCCCCTCCCAATCCCAGGACCTCCAGTAGCTGCAGCCAGTGGTACTGAACAATGCTAGTATCTTTAAGGAACTTCTCTTCCCTTGTCATGGATATCCTATTCCCCTCACACAGTTACCGGGATCTGAGGTACTATATTCTTCCCAGGGAACCTTTGCAGGTTCTTGTTTCCCTGAATGAAGAATTGGGCAGAACACATGAAAAAGTAGCAAGATTTTACACTTATTAAAGATAGGAAAAGAACTATTCTCTGCTGAGTGCAGAGAGGGCCACTGAGAAGGCTAACAGTGGCCATGAGGCCAATAGCAACAATCTTTGGTATCCCTATTCTGACATCAGATCTAGGCTATCCTCTCAAAAAAACCTGCTTGATTTCACACCACAAGAATTAAAGATAGCATTCTATGATTGATCCCAGGTGTAAGACTTGTGCACATGTGTCCTGGACCTCTAGGATTGATGGGTCATGCCCACTTGCCGAGTCGGCTGGCCACGCCTTAATCTCCTGCCTCAACACCAAACGTCATACCTATTGTTCTTCATGGTTTGGCTGATTCCCTGTCTTTGTCTTGATCTTCCTGAACTCGTCGCTACCGCAGAGAATCGAACTCAAACCCTTAAAGGTGCAAATGGTGATTCAACTGTCTTGTAGGACACATTACATTCTAGTGAATGCAGGTCAGCATCTTGCTGCTCTTGCCCAAGGTCATTATTGTAGTGCCATCAAATCCAGGGCCAACAATAAAATGTTGGGATCCTTAATACCAGGGAGAAGTCAATAGGTAAAGATATGATGCAAGTTTGCTGAGAAATAATGCAAGCAGGGCAGGAGCTTCACAAATAGTGAAATCAGCTGCCTTACTGTTCCTGTACTGCTTTAACCCATCTTGGTATCTCATCTGAGAATGCCTGTGTTGGATCTGCTAGGAACTCAGCACTTCTGAGAATGCTTTGGGTACATCTGACACTCTTGTTGCTCAGTGAGGCTGTCAGTCCTTCTAAGCAGGCTCAATGAGATGCCACCTCCGGGCTGTGCTGGTCTAGGTCACCTGAGGTAGAAGTCATCCTTGGTTGTTCCATCATATCAGGCACCTCCAGTGGCCACTCTGCACTGACTCATTTTTATCTGGTAACACTACAGCCCCTCAAAGATGGGTTGGGACGGTGTAGGGGGTGCTCCCCAATATCCTTCATGGCCTCCCAAAAGAGAGAGGGGAAGGGTTGGTGGGAAAAAAGAATCACAGGATGAAGGGATATTTAAGAAAAGATGTTCACCTAGAAACAAAGAAGCAAGTACCACTAGAGAATTCTGGGAAGAGAACTGAAGGTGTGAGAGAGGCAAGTGTCACCATCTTCAGGTAGAAATGGCATCTTTTCTGGTTGGTGCAGAAATCATGTCAGCCCTGGTCCTTGTTCCTCCTTGCACAGATTTGTTGCCTGTTCTCTCTGCCTTGAACCATCTTCTTGCCCAGTCCTCTTCATCTGAGTAAACATTTGCTCATTACAGGTCTCAGTGAGTGGGCAGCCACACTTCTCCCTGGGTGCCTGCTCTGCCTGCCTGGACCCCCCTGCCCCACCACCACATCCAGTACCTCTGGTCTGGAATGGCCTATTTATTTGTGTACTGTCTACCTGGTCTCCAAATTCCATGACCACGGGGATATCATTACATCACTGGTGCCTGTCCCAGAGCAAGAACAGTGGAAAATATTGGTTTACTGAATTAATTTTTTTATGAAGTTTTGGAACAGACACCATACTTTTAAAACAAAAATACTTTGAACTTTACCCCCTCAATGGGGTCTCCCTATAAGTACACTGAAAATAAATTTTTTCCTATTTAGATATCTATAAACATGTTGGAGGGGCAAGGAGGAAATAAATGATCTTACTTCCAATTGGTATCTGTTTTAAACTAACTATTCCACCTGTTTATCTAATCTGTAAACAAACATAGTAGGCAGCTACCATTTTGGGCCTATGAGCATCCATACCTATTTCTCCTTTAACGTAGGAAGAGCACTCCAGTTTTATTTTGGGACCCCCTACATTTTCTGCTTCTATTTTTCAGGGAAGCAGCCCCCAGCCCCAAGTTTAGGTATGGATAAGTGACTTGGGCTTGACAGTCACTGTATTCCAACTGCTTAACACCTGATTAGTTCTGGATGTGCACACGACCCAAACTGACCTACTGAGAGAGCCCTGAAACTTCTGCTTGAATTACTGGGGCCAGAAGACCTGGATGCTGAGCTGGTGTATGTTGGGAGCTACAATGTAAGGGGAAAATGAAAGGTAGCTAGAAAGTGAAGCCAAAAAAAGGAAGAAAAAAGACAGAGCTCTCAAGACAGATATCCTTCAATCCTGGCACCCAGCCATAATTTTTTCTGGAATATTCTGTCACATAAGCCAATAAAGTACCTTTTCCAGAAGTCAGTTTGAGAGTGTCTGTTGCTTGCAACTGAACAAATCTTAACTAACACAGAAAGCAGAACAAAGCATGTGACCTTTTTCCTTTGTTTTATTTTCTACCAAATCAATACATCATTTGCAACATTTCTAATATAGATCAGAACACTGTAATGTGCTGTTACATTACTATATAATTTTTTAGCATATGAACTAAAAAGAGGCACATGATCATGTGGCCCTGTGGTCTCAAGCAGGACTGGGTTCTAAGGTTTGTGAGCCACAAAGTAGCCTGTTTTGAGTTTTCTGTCTTAACTTCCTTTTCCATCCCAGCACCTGTCACCACACTTCAGCACTGCTTCCAGGGGAAAGAGCCACATCATGGGCTGCAGGCCTTGCAGGTACACCTTGGTGCTACTTTGAGCTTGGCCACCAGTCTTCACATGGTCGCCACCTCTCCTGATCTCAGCCAAGAGTGGCCTGCTGCCAGCAGAGCTGCAAACAATGACCCGGGCTGCTTCTGCAGGATCTGGGGCCTGTCAAACTCCACGACCTGGAGAAAGGAGGGGAGGAGACCAGGACAGGTGAGCTCAATCTGGGAGGATCTGCAGGCCTCCTGTGCCAAGAGCCTTAGTATCCACCCATCTTCCAACCATCCCCAAGACACAGGCAATTTTCACCTTCCCATGGCTCATCACCAGGATTCGGTCACAGTTTTGAACAGTGGTGATGCGGTGGGCAATGACCAGCACTGTGCAGCCCTGGAAAGCCTCTCGGATTGTGCGCTGAGTCAAGGTATCGGTCTCCAGGTCAATGGAGGCTGTGGCTTCATCAATAAGGGTGATCTGGGGGAAAGAAAACAGGTGAAAGCAGGCTGCTTGGGCTACCAAGACCTGGATCTTGGTCTTGGTTCTACCATTCATGCACCAGGCCTGTGTTTCCCAGCTGGAAAAGGGGATAACTGAGCTGAGTTCAAAACCTACTTTGCACTAGAATTGTCCAAGGCATTACCAACAGATGCAAAGTTTCAAACAAGAGCTAACTATACTTTAGTGACCAGAAGACCCTGGAAATGAAAATGGCTCAGGGCTGGGACAAACCCAGGGCCTCATTTACTAGACAAACACTCAACCCCTGAGATCCATCCCCAACCCTACCCCTAGGGACAATTTCTTGTGCTATTAATTACCTTTCCATCTGCCTGAATTCAACTAGAACAAACATCCCGAAAATGGGCTGGTGTGCACCTAGTAGGTACATGAGATGCCTATCGCCATATACAGATAGTCTCATTAGTCCAATGTATCTGTACCTATTTAACAATACACAATAAAAATTATAGCACAGAAAGCATGATGTGCAAATATAGCCCTTTTCCCATGAAAGAAGGAACTAAGAAGTTAAGAAAGGGCTACTGACAGGTTGTAAGTTCTGCTGTTTGTGCCCTACAAAGAGGAGACAAATCCTACCTCTTTAGAAACCTTCTTCCCCACTGCAGGCCCTATGGAGCTCTTCCCCCTCAGGTCTAACAGTGTAAACAAACAGATTTTTCAATTACCGTGAATTGAGATGGCGTATGTGGTGTGCACTTGAGTACATGTGTGGAGTATGCAGGTGGTGTAGGCACATGTGTGTAAGTGTGTGTGTATGTGTGTGTGTATGTCTACACATGTGGTGCCCCTTGTGTGAGAGCAGTTTGATCCTGGCCACTCCAGTTACTGAAATTATGGTGAAATACCTGGAAAACTTGAAGGAGTGATGAAAAACACTTTTATATCAGACATTTTATGTGCAACAAGAGCTGGGGGCATAGTTATGCTTTGCATGTGTGAGACCCTGGGTTACAGCCTCAGCACACAAAAACAAAAAAATAAATCAATAAAAACCATGCAGCTGTCCTCTGAGTCCTAATTCTACTTTTTGGAAAAAGTGATGACTTGCATCCAAGTTTTAAGAAGGGTGTTCAATAGGCATTTTTTAAATCAGCTGGTTTCAAATCTTGCCTTCTTCTAGGAAAAAGGATCCTAATCTGGTTCCTGTCACCACCATTTCAGCTTAGTCGTAGGATTCAGAGTAACAAGAGTCCAGGCTGTGAACCCTCCCTCACCCAGCATGCCTCGTCCACACCCCACTTGCTCTGGAATGGCCCAGTGGCACAGGGGAGCCTTCTGGGAGCCTTGGCAAGAAGATACAGTATGGTGTCCCTGCCCTGTGAGTGCGGGGAGAGAGTCAGCATGGTTTACCATGCTGCACGGCACCAGTGATTAGTGACGGCCGCTCGGTAATGGCCTCTCACCTTGGAGTTGCAAAGAAGGGCTCGAGCAATGCACAGCAGCTGCCTCTCCCTGACAGAGAAATTGCCACTGCTCTCCTTCACTTCTGCATGCAGCCTCCCAGGGACCTTGGAGATCTGTGCCATGGGGAAGAAGAGACAACATGCAGGCCACTGTGGGGGACCTCAGGGAGCCACAGTACTTTCCTGTTGCATTTTGTGACAGTTCACCCTCCCCGCTCCCGCCTCCTGCCATTCCTTAACTGCAAAGGGGGCTTGCTCTCACCTTGGGGCCTTTGTACTTGTGAGTTCTGGTGCCTGATTCTAGCAAAGATCTTTCCACTTGTCCGCCTTCATGTATGGTTTCAGCTCAACTACCACATTCTTAAAGAAGCCTTTCCTGGCCAGGCATAGTGGTACATGCCTGGAATCTCAGCACTCTGAGAAGCTGAGGCAGGAGGATTACAAATTAAAGCTCAGCCTGAGCAACTTACCAGTTTAGCAAGAAGGTCTCAAAACTTTTTTAAAAGGCTGGGGATGTAGCCCAATGCAAAGGCCCTGGGTTTGATCCCTAGTATTTGGGGGAAAGAGAGGGACAAGAAGAGGAGGGAAGAAGAAGAGAAAGAAGCCTTGCCTGGTCACCTTATCAGAGGAGCTGTTTCCCCTGTGCAACTGCTTTTGCCTCATAGTTACCTTTGCAGCATCTCCTACTCTCTTCAAGTGTCTCCATCCATTTTTTGTCTGTCTCCCATTGAATGTAAGCCCCAGGAGGTCAAAGATCTTTGCTTCACACAGCCCCAGATCTTAGAACAGGGCCTGACACCCTGTTGGTACCTGGCCTTAGCCTTCATTAGCAATTCCAAATCATCTCTTGAGATTATTTAATCCATTATCAAAGCAACAGCATCTGGGACACCATGTGAGGGGAGCCCCAGAAAGCTGCTTTCCCTGTGAAGATGCCAGCTGAGAGCAAGGAGCAGACCTTGGAGCTACTCACAGTCTTGGTTAGGGAAGTCCTTTCCAAGACATCCCAGATCTGCTGGTCTGTGTAAGAGTCAGAGGGATCTAGGTTGAACCTGCCACAGGAAAGGAAGGCTTAACAACCTGTGAACACTCATTTTATATACAGTAAATGGCCAAAAATGGTTACAATGGGATTCCTGGGTTTAAGAAACTCAGCAAACTGCCACATTGCTTCTGCAGGTAGCAGACTCCACATTTTGTTTGGGAACCACCTCATCTCCAACCCTCAAGTCAGTATAGGGGCCCCTATGCTCTAGGTGGGCTCCACAGCCCACTCTAAGAGTGTAGCACATGATCTGGGTATGACCTAATCAGCACATGGGAATCCCCAGACACAGTGATTATGAGGTGTGATCAGAAATATAATGAACGTTTAAGTCTTCTAAACTATTACGGTAAGAAACACCTTGTCATTCACCCCTCTCAAAATCTTCTCCCTCACTTCAAACACACTCATTATCCCATTGTTCTTGCCCTTCTGAAAGTTCTTGTTTGTTTGTTGTTTGTTTTGTACTAGGGATCAAATTCCTGTCCTTGTGCTTGTGAGGCAGGTGCCAGAACCACTGGACTAGATCCCCGGCACTCTTTTTGTGAGTGTCTTTAATTGTGTTATCCTGGCTGCCTCAATGGCCTGAATCCATTTTAAATGTTTTCATGGTCATTTTGACACTGGTAGAGACCCAGAAGTCACATGGTGTCAGATTTGGTGAATAAGGTGGATGAGGACACAGTGTAATATTTTTATTCTACATAAATTGCTGAAAATATTTTGAATCAATTCAGAACATGGAAGCTGGGTGTGGTGGCACACGCCTGTAATTCTAGCACTCGGGAGGCTGAGGCAGGAGGATTGCTGTGAGTTCAAGACCAACCTGGGCTACATAGTGAGTTCCAGCTCAGTCTCAATCACATAGTGAGACCCTATCTCAAAAAACCAAAAAACAAACAAAGAAACAATTCAGAACACAGAGGCTGCCATGACAGCACAAAGACACTCGTGAAAGAGGACTTCTAGAACTGCTTCAGAAAGCAGCAAGAACCATAGGATAAGTGTGCTTGAAGTGAGGGAGAGGATTTTGAGCAGGATTAATGTTAAGGTGTCTTCAACTATCATAATTTCTTATTTAAATACACACACACATATATATATGTACACACACACACATATATGGTGATAAATAAGGTGATAAATCAAAGCTTTACCACAACTGTGAGGAAAGATACATGGTCATTTCTGCTGGACTGAACAGGAGAGATTACAACCATCCTGCCACAGAACTGGGACCCTTGGAGCCCCCTAGGGGCCCACATGTAGCATTTGAAAATAAAGCAAAGGCAGAGCTAGGGAAAACCTAAGTCCTTGAATCCAGCCTTGACCTTTCCAGTATAATGAGGCTACAGAGGTCTCTTCCTTAAACCATTTGGTTCTTGCTATATGGCAGAATATACATAACATAGTAGTTATCATTTTAACTGGCCTCAAACTTGCCTAATGGTACCGGAGAACAAGACTGGGTCTTGAGGGATGACTGACAGTTTGGACCGCAGGTCCTCCAGCCCAATGCTGCAGATGTCCACCCCATCGATGAGAATGCGGCCTGCTGCAGGCTCCACCAGGCGGAAAAGAGCCACACCCAAGGAGCACTTTCCTGTTGGGCAAGAAATACATGGAGCCTCAGTTTCCTGAACCTACACCAAAGAAAGCACAGGTCACTTCTGGCCTTTGCACCTGACCTCCTCCCTTCTTTGGTTCCATCTGGAGCCATGAGCCAGGGGCTCCTCTACCCCATGTCCAAAGCCATGAGCAACTTTCTGACAGCCTAGACCAGTGGTCGCCAATGGAACCCCTGTACCACAGCCAGGAACACACATGCTTATTCCACGCATACAGTGCTACAGTTACTTTTTAATCCTTTGTCACCATTTGAAAAAGCCCAAAGATTCTATATACAGAAATGCAAATTGCATGCTTCTCTTGAGACTCAGTAGAACTGGCCCATGTTCCCCAAGCAGTAAGTTGCTGGATCTGAGTGTAGCTAAGCTTTAGGTGGACCGGTCCACTTCTTACTCCAGATCCCCTCGGTATTCCAGACCCCTCTGTGTCCCAGCCCATGCATTTCATTCCTTACATCACAACCCAGGCCCTTTTCACTCATCAACATCAAAGGCATTTGCACTTTCAACCCCTTTCAGAGGTAAGGCCTGTGAAGACAGAAGCCGTGTCTTGTTCCCTTTTTCAGTTCCCAGGCACACAGTAGGTCCTCAGTAAATACCTACTGTGTGAGTGCTGTCAGTTGGACCACTGTCTGAAGGCTGGCTTCTCTATGCCAGGCCCAGCTCTCTCAGACCAACTGCAAGTGGAAAGAAGAAGCATAGAAGATGAAAGGAGAAAGAGCAAGAAGCTCATCACCTCACGGTGGTGACAGTTGCGTTGCTGGAGTGCTAAGGAGGCAGAGACCCAGGGTGTCACCCAGGGTGCTGCCTGGGCAAGTCAGCTCTGTGATGTCTAGGGCTAGAGATGAGGCACCCAGAAACCAAGTCTGAACAGTGTCTCTGAATTCAAAGGCAGAGGAGAAACATCTGGACCAGATCTCCCAAGAGTGGCAGGAGCAGAAGGGAAAAGAGAAATCAAGAAGGAGGAAGGAAGAGGGAGAGGAAGGCGACTGATGAAAAAGGACCAGGCAGGGATTACGGAAAGGAAGGGAGGGATGGTGGGAGGACCTGATGCTGATTATTTCCTCCATGGCCACCACTGCAACCTTAATTATCATTTGTATCCCTCCACTGGATCCCCCCAGAGGAGGAACCTGGGATTTTAGTTACCCATGTCCACTTAGTGCAGGGGCCAGTACACAGTGAAGGACAAGGGAATACTTTGGGTGACCTGGCAAGTGGAAGTTCCCAAAAGGTCTGGCACCCAAAGGCCCCAAAAAGGGAGATGATCTGCCCAAGGACTAAGCTCACCAGAGCCCGTCCTTCCCACGATGCCCGCCACTTCTTGGCCAGGGATGGTCAGGTTGATTCCATTGAGGACAATAGGAGTGTTGTCTCTGTACTTCATCTGATAATCCTGGAATGTGATTTCCCCATGCTGTGGCCATGCAGAGGGACAACTTGCACCTTCCACACGTAAAGGGGCCTCAGAAATACACATCTTATTTTTGAAGGAAGAAGTAAATAGTTATCAACCTCTGCCTGTCCCCTGAAAACCTTCCCTTCCATACCAGTCTGCCCAGCACCACAGTCAAGCCATGACCATGCTGAGTGACCCGAGGCACACCCTGGGAGGAGCGAACATCCCTCCACCCCACACTCACCCATATGCACCTGAAATGTGCATGGTTTTGTTCCAGGAGAGTGAAAATCCCATATAAGTAGCCCCTCCTTGTTAGTCATACAGCACCTTTTCCAACTTACTGTGAGGCTCTGAAGAACTGAAAGTCAGAACCACAGTGACACTGGTAGCAGAAATCATTAACCACTGCTATTTAGAGCTCAGAGACCTTGGGTATATTTCCTCCCTCTCCATCCTCGCCCTAGGGCATGGGCCTTTGAGATGCATTTCACAGGTAAGGAAACAGGCTCCAACAAGTTAAATGATGGGTTTGTGATCACAGCCATGGGTCTCCACTGCTGGTGCAATGTTACAGCAGAAACCCTGGAGTTAGGGCAGAGCCCTGTGATTCACAAATCCTATGGAACCCTAGGCCCAGAGATTTGGCTCCCCAGGTCTCGCCAGCCCCAGGCTGTGTGATACAATTAAACAGGACACTCAGCCCAGCCAAGACTCAGTTACATCTGGATAATTCAATCAATAATTCAATCGATGTCACACAATTATCCTCGTCTAGATGATTCAATCTTGCAAAGTTGTTCTATAATTTCATGATGCAATCTATATGTTAGGGAATTGCTCATGTTAAAGTATGCTGTGACGCCGCCTCACAGGCTGCATTCTCCTGGTACATCTTGGCTCCTAAAATGACCTCATGCCCTTATCTCTGGTTTCCCTCCCCTCCAAGGCCACAGTGGTCCAGGAAAGTTGAAACCTGTGTCTGCAGGACTGGGCCCATAAAAGCAATCTGGCCTGTGATAGGTTAAAAGTAGCTCACTCCTCATAAATAAGCAATAGCCCACCCCAAAACTGATAAAAGGACCTTCCTTTCTTTGTTCTTCTCTCTTGTTCTGCTTCTTCTTCCTCTCTCTCTCTCTCTCTCTCTCTCTACCTTCCTGCCTCCTGCTCGCCTACCTACAATAAAGATCTCCTGCCAGCCCTCTCGGTGCATGAGTGGCCTAATTGGGAAGGGGCACCCGAAAGGGCATGCAAACCCCCCTTCACTATATAAAGGGCTCAGCCCAGTGCTTGACCCATAGAAGGGTCTCCTCTGTCACCACAGACAGCATAGTAATCAGCCTTGGCTATGCATCAAGCATCATGCCAAGAAACTTACAACTTTATCATTTCATCTCTATAATAACCCAATGAAGGACACATTGTTATTGACTCCATTTCAGAGAAAGAAGAGAAATTCAGCAAGTTGTGCAAGGTCCCACTGTGGATTCCAAGTGACAAAAGGTGGACTTGAACCAAAGCAATCTGTGCTCTTAACTACTATGACATCCATAGAAGCAATAGCACCGTGTGTCTTAGTTACTTTTCTCTTGTTGCTGAGACAAAATAGCTGACACCCTGAGTTAAAGGGGAAAGGGTTTGTTTAGCTCACAGTTTGTAGAGGTTTCAGTCCATAATCAGCTGCCTCCAAGGCAGAGTGGCACATAGCAGAGGGGCATCATAGAGGAGAGACGGTTCATGGCATCCACGTGGTAGCAAAAGCAACAAGGGTCAGACCTTAACAGCATCTTTCTACCCCTTTTGTTCTATCCAGACAACTGGAATTAGGGCAGTGCCAAGCCAAGCAGGGTACTGGTTTAGTAATCATATGCCTTTAGTCCTAACCTAACACACTCCAGATTCAGCCACTTTTGAAACAGCCCTATGACTGTATGAGGTTTGTGGGGGGCAGGATCTAGATACAAACCATAATACTGTGTTCCCCCAAAAAATAATTTTTCCCACTCTGTGGGTTATCACTTCATTCTGTTGGTGGTTTCTTTTGCTGTGCAAAAGCTTTTTAATAAGATGAGATCTTAGTTACTAATTCTTTGTAAAATGCCCTATGAAATTGGGATTTGTTTATGAAGTCTTGGCATACACCTGTGCCTTCAAGGGTTCTGCCTATTCTATCTTCTGTTTTAATATTTAGATCTTTGATAACACTTTTATTTCAGTTTAACGCATGGTGAGACATATGGGTCTAGGTTCACTTTTTAGCACATGGCTAGCCACTTTTCTCTGTACCATTTATTTAAGAAGCTATCTTTCTTCAAGTGAAGTTATTTGGCCCCTTTGTCAAAGATAAAGTAGCTGAGTGTGTTTAGAGTTATTATTGCATCTCCTATTCCATTCCATTGATCCTCAGGTCTGTTTTTTGTTAATTGTTTTTTGCCAGTACCATGCTGTTTCTAACATGATAGCGTTATAGTATAATTTCAAGTCAGAGATTATAATGCCCCTGCCTTGCCTTTGTTATTTGCTTTTGCTATTCCAGGTCTTTTCTGGTTTTGTATGAATTTTAGGGCTGCTTTCTCTAGTTCCATAAGGTATGCTATTGGTACTTTGATCAGAATTGCATTAAATCTGTATAACAGTTTTGGAAGTATGCCCATTTTCACTATATCAGTTCTGCATATCCAAGAACAAGGAATATCTTTCCATTTTCTGATATCCACTTCCCAACTCCTTTTTCAGAATACTGTAGTTATTACTGCACAAGTCTTTCATTTCTTTTATTAGTTTGATTCCTAAGTAGTTCCTTTTTTTTGCCCTATTGTGAAAGGAGTTGTTTCCCTAAATTCCTTCTTCATGAGTTTGCTATTTGTGTACAGAAATGCTATTGATTTTTGAGTATTGACTTTGTATCCAGCCATGCTACTGAAGTTGGTTACTAAATCTGGAACTCTTTTAGTGGAGTTTTGGGAATCGTCTATGTAGAGTTTCATGCCATCTGCAAATAATGATAATTTCATTCTTTCCTTTCCTATCATTAGTCCTTTCTCTGACTGAAGTTTAGAGAACTATATTGAACAGGAGTGATGATAATGGACATCCTTGTCTTGTTCCTGATTTTAGAGTGAAAGCTTTCAATTTTTGTCCATTTAGCATGAGGTTGGCTGCTGGTTTGTCATAGATGGCTTTTATCAGACTGAGATAAGGACCATCTATTCCTATTCTCTGTAGGATTTCTATCATGGATGGGTGTTGGACTTGGTAAATGCTTTTTCTGCATCTATTGAGATGATCACGTGGTTTTTGTTCTTGGTTCTGTTGATGTGGTGTATTACATTTGTTGAGTTGTGTCTGTTGAACCTTCCCTGCATCACTGAATCCTACTTGGTCAGGTGTATAATCTTCTTCATGATTTGCCATAGGTATTATTTTGCATCTATGTTCATTAAGAAAATTAACCTGTAGTTCTCCATTTTGGTTGGGTCCTTCTGTAGTTTTGATATCAGGGAAATGCTTGCTTCCAGGAACGAGTTTGGGAGTACTGCTTCCCTTTCAATTTCATTTAAGAGTTTGAGGAGTAGTGGCATTAGATCTTCTCTAAAGTTCTTGTAGAATTTAACAGTGAACCTATCAAGAGCTGGGCTTTTCTTTGTTGGTAATTTTGTTTCCCCTCCATTTCATTGACTGATATTGGGTTATTTAGAATTTTTATATCTTCTTGATTCAGCTTTGATAATTCACATGTAGCTAGGAATTGTCCATTTCTTCTGAATTTTCCATCTTATTAGAGTACAGGTTCTAGTACTAGGTACTGATGATCTTCTGGATTTCTGCAAGTTTATATTCTGATCTTGCCCTTTTCATTCTTAATGGCATGGACTCAATATTTTCTTTCTTTTTATTGATAAGGTTGGCTAAGGGTTTGTCAATTTTCTTTAATCTTTCAAAGAATCAACTCTCATTGATTCTTTTTATTGTTTTCTTAGTCTCAAGTGCATTAATTTCTGTTCTGATCATTATAATCTCTCTTGTACAGGCTTTGGGTTTAACTTGCTGTTCTTTTTCTAGAAGCTTGAGGTTCAACATTAGGTTATTTGTATTCACTTCATTTTTCTGATGTGGGAATTCACCACTATAAATTTTCCCGTAGGACTGCTTTCATTGCATCCCATGAGTTGCAGACCTCTCTGGGAAATAATCAGCCCTGAAAGCTAGAAAGCAAATATGCCCACCCCAATCAGCCTATCCTTGCCTTACCTAACATCACTATTCTCTTGCTCAGTGACTACTCTGCAAGGCAGGTAAGGCAAGGATAGGATGACTGGGGCTGGAGTATTTTATCTCTGGTTTTCAAAGCTAATTATTTTCCAAGTCTTACTTTGGGGGAAATACAGTTTATTGCTGCTATGGATGGCACAGGGGTTAAGAGCATAGATTACTTGGTTCAAGTGTGGACTTGAACCACTTTTGCCACTTGAATCAGCTGTGTAACCTTGGGCAACTTGCTCAAATGCTGTTCCCTTTCTCTGGGATGGGAAAGTGGTTACTCAGTGGTTACTACCAGGGTCACAGAGTCACCACCCACCTCAGAGAGCTCCCACTTCAGACCCTGCCCAGAGCCTTGCCTTTTTGTACTGCAGCATCCTCTCCGCAGCTGTGAAGTACCCCTCTGTCTCCGAGCCAAGCCGAGCCGTGGCCTGGAACATGGATGCCAGCTGGAGGGAAGGAGAAGGCTCAGAGCTCAAGAGGCTGCTGGGGGTGGACACGGGTCCTAGTATTCCCCAAACCACAGGCTGTCATCACCCACGAGCAGCTCTTCAAAGTGGAACGATTTCCCCATCAAACCAATCATGCTAATTCCACTTCTCTTTCCAGTGACTGGTTTAGCAGTAGGTCTGTGACACTACTGAGGATGATGAAGCATGAAGCAGAGTAAGCTGGTAGTGTCCTGGGACACTGTTTCTTGTTCTTTAAAAGGGACACATGGAAGAAAGTAGTGTCCTCTCCAGCCTTCAGCTGTCATTGTGTGAGACGACTGCTGGGTTGCAGCAGCCATTTCGTGACTCAGTATACAGCCCTGGAGACAAAGTCAGGCTATGGAAGGCAGAACAGAAGGAGAAAATGATCACAACTTTATGCTAGTCCACGCAATTAACCAACAGAAGATAGTCCTACCCCAGCCTTTAACCTTCACCAGAAAGTGAGTTTCCAGATGGTTGGGGCCATTATGACTTGGTTCTTTTTCTGGCCACCAGAAGCACCCCTGGCATTTACTGAGAAATCTCTTAGGGTTGCAAAGCCACATGGAGTGTGGTATGGACCCAGTCCCTTCGGAAGGCATGCAGAGGTTAGTGAGGCACTGGCTTGGCTGGAACAGAAGTGCATGTAGGCTACATGGGTTCATGTTTGCTCTGTGAGACAGGAATAACAATGGACACCATTTCTGGAACATTTAGTCTGAGCCAGCCACTACTCCAGATGTTTTGCCTGAATCTGTACTATTGTGTACATGTTTCCTCACAAGCTGTGGTTTATTATCATCCTTTTACAGGTGAAGAATGCCAGACATACAGAGGCTAACAAACTTACCCAAGGCCACTCGCCAATGATTCAAAACTCTGGACATCCCAAGCCACCCAATCTTACCCACTTTGCTTCTGCAAAACAGGAAATATCAAATGGAAGGAGAATATCAAACAGAAGAAGCTGTATGTATACTGGATTGTAGTTCCAGGGCACCCCGTCCTCTAACTGCCCCTCTGGACTTGTGTGGCCTTTCCTGCAGTTGGCTCCAGGTCCTCAGCATGGCCCCATGGCTGAGGAGTGATTTCGTGTGTGCAAAGGGCTCCCCTCACTTGGTGCTGAGCCCCTGAGCTCAGGCCTCCTAGTCTGACTCCTGCAGCTCTCTAGAGGGACTCCAGGGTCACGGTGCTCAGCAGTCACCTCATAGACCACCAGCCGAGCTTAGCTCCCAACAAACACAGCCCTACAGTAGTATCTGGGTATGAACACTGCACAACTGTCTGCATGAAAGGTGTGCTGCACACACCAGCGTGTACATACACCCAGAACATGTGCCGATACATACACACAAATGCTGCAGGGCTCACCGGGAAGGTTTGGAGCCCCTTGCACACCCAAAATCACCCCTGAGCACTGGTGACAAAGCTCAGCAAAACAAACACAGGATCCCAAGCCAACTGGAGAAAAGGCTGCAGAGCCCCGAAGGAGCAGTTAATAGATAACCCCAGGGGAGGGGAGCCCTGGACCTGCATAGCCAGTCCCCTGAGGTGGTGTGAGGCAGCCTATGGCCTCCCAGCCCCACTGTGGGGCTCTGTGGGCCATGAACCCTGGCCAGCCCCCCCTTCTCTGTGCACCCTAACACCAGTGCTGGGCGCATGGAGATCTCAGGCCACCAGGCAGCGGTCATTGCCTCAGAATCTCCTAGAGAACCTGTTTTTAAAACTGCTCAAGACCCCAGCCCAGGATGTGACTTCTGAGTGTAGCCCCTGCCGACCCCACCAGACCAGACTGGCTGACACTTTCCAGGCTGACCCAGCAGTTGGCTTCACACCCCATGAGATGCCCTGTTTTCTAACCCCTGCCAGGTGCCAGTCAGCCAGGGTGCAAGTGGGAAGTTCAGAGACATTGACCAGGCAACCCAGAGGCATGGCTCTCATCCTGTCTCTGTGAACTCTGCCTGTTGGCACAACTCCTTCCCTTGTCTGTGCCTCAGTTTCTCCATGGGCCTATCAGATGTGTAGGGCTCTGTGGCTATGGGCTCCCTTCACTTGTGGCCATCTATGGTTCTATTAGATGCAGAGGTTAAACATAGACTTCCCCGCTCAGAAGTGCTCACAAGAAAACAGAGTAGGTTGGTTCAGAGCTCAGATCACACAAGGCCAACCCCAAGCTATGGCAGAGCCCCCTGACCCTGAATGTGACCAGGGCCACAGGGCTGAGAGTTGACAGCCCTTAGAGCACCACTGCCTATGAGCCCTCCTCACCTGCAGCACGAGGCTGATCACCATGGCTCTGTAGGAATAGGAAGCCGAGGAAATGCCAAACGCTACAAACAAGGCCACGGCCAAGGTTATCAGGTTGGTCATAATCTCCATCCTCAGCACCACCCACCTCGTGGAAGACAGGAACATCAGCAGGTAGGTGTTCTGTGTATCTACCAGCCTTTTAAACCTAGGAAGGAAAGCCCACACTGAGAACCATGCATCTGTCCACCTCAGAGCTTCCACAGGTGGGCAGTGGTCACTTTCTCCAGCCTCCAGCTCTCCACTTCCACCAACAGAACCTGAATTTTCTTCAGGGGAAGAAAAATCTCCTCCTCCTCCACCCCCTGTCAATGAGGGCTGGAGTTGATTGAATTGAGGAGTGGGTCTGCAGGTGTACAGCCCTTGACATACACCTTCCTTAGCCTCTGTGACTGTTTCAGGGACAGGTGGGCTCCCTAACTGAACCTTTGACAGACAGTGAATGCCAGGATTTATCCGTGAGTGCAGGGAAGACCCTTGCAGTGGGGTCAGGGGACTCTGAACTGCCATTCTGGGTCGGGGGTGGGGGGGGCTTGCAGCTACCAGGGGCCTCCTAGACATGAAAATGGACCTTCCCATCTTTCCCCTAAGGACAGCGCCCAGACAGGGCCCAGTGAAGTGAGTCCCTTCTCTACTTTCTTCATTTATCTGACCTAATGGGAACCCCACACCCTTTCTTCCAGCCTTCTACAATGAAATTTTCATAAGTACAAAGAAATTAAAATGTTCGTTTAATGACATCCATTCCCCTCTAACTTAGCAATTGTTAATATTTTGTGATTTTTAAAAGTCTGTTCTTGGGCTAGGGATTTAGCTCAGCAGCGCTGCTGCCTGCCTTGCAAGTGCAAGGTCCTGAGTTTGATCCCCAGTATCAAAAAATCAAACAAACAAACAAAACTCTGTTCTTTTAAAAACTGGTTTAAATTAGTTTTTCCTATTACTTCCAACCAAAAAGATCTCCCAATTCTCAGTTTTCACATGCCACCACCACAATTTTCCAAATCAACACACAACCTATCCTATTACAAATAGTATCTTTCTTTTATTTGACTTAGTATAGCCTAGAATTAATGTTAAAAGAAATTTTTGTCACTGGCTTAAAATTATCAAAATAATGAGTTTGATGTGCTAATTTTTTTTTCTAAAGTATATTCAAATAGACCTCTCATTGTTGAAATAAAAAGTGTTTGTCTGTGTACAACTAAAACCATCCTAGGCCAGGGATTTAGCTCAGTGGCTCCACCACCTGCCTCACAAGTGCAAGGACCTGAGTTCGATCCCCAGTACCCCCCCAAAAAAACATCCTAGCATTCGGTGAGTAGTCACCCACATGCAGTGGTCCTTACAAATCACTCCAACTTCTCACTGTGAAATTTGGCACAGGCCATTCCAAATTCTGCCCATCTGACCCTTCCACAACGACTGAGTCACTTGCATTTTAAGGGCTTCATCAATTAAGTACAACAGAGCCTGGCCAGGTGTGGTGGTGCACGTCTGTAATCTCAGCACTCCATAGGCTGAAGCAGGAGGGTCACCATGAGTTTGAGGCCAGCCTGGGCTACACAGTGAGTTCAAGGCCAGCCTGGACTACATAGAAGAAATCTAAATAAATAAATGAGACCCTGGCCATACAGTGGCTCTACAGATGCTCAAGCCACCTTGCTGTCCTTCAACCTTATATCCCCAGCTTGGAATTTTTGCATCCACTTCTCCCTCTGTCTGGTCCCTGACTCTCACCTCCTATGGATCTCTGGCAGAGTCCTTTCCCTTGAGTTCTTCCCTGACAACAGCTCCAATGCCACGAGAGTCTCTCTGTGCTCTCACCCTGCCGCATACCTCAGGGTGGGTACTGCATCTGCCACATCCTGCTGTGTCCCCACTGGTGCTATGCACATGGTACCTCTCAGTGTGAACTGGGTGAGCGAACCACTCCACCATCCTGTCTGCACCATCTTTGGGAACCCTGATCACAGAGGGAGAACAGCACCGTGGTTCATCGGGGCTCGGGTTATCAGAGTTCCCCCCCTTCCGTGTCTAAATCTCACCCAGCACTCAAGGCCAGCTCAGACCATCTCCTCCTCAAAGCTTCCCCTGGCCTCCCCTTTCCCTGAAGAACTCCTGGCATATTTTATTTGTTCCTTTCTTATACCACCTATCCTATTTAGTCCATGTTATTACAAACGTATCTGTCCATGTCTCGTCTCTTCCACAGACTGAGATTCTTGTAGGGAAAGATTGCGTTTGATTATTTATTTAGAAATCTCTACATTGATAGTTCATATTACACAATTAAGCCTCAACAACAATCAGGACTTTTCTGTGTTTGTTTCAACACTCAGAAAGCAAATCTATGGGTTTGACTAGTGATAGAAGTTCTGTTATTTAGAAAGTTACTGTTGCCCACTATTTCTATTAAAATTAGATATATGTTTGGATGTGAAATGAAAACTAATGCAAGGTGTTTTCACATAATAATATACCTTACAATCAAATATTATATATGTATACATTTTCATTCATACAATCATTCTTCAGTGTTGACATGGGTTTGCTCCCAAGACCCCCTGAGGGCACCAAAGCCCAAAAATAAATGCTCAAGTTTCTTCTATCAAATGCTGTAATATTTGCATAGGCACATCCTCCTCTGTACTTTAAATCGTCTCTAGATGACTTATGATGCCTAATGTGATGTAAGTACTACGTAAACAGTGGTTGTATTATATTGTTTAAAAATAATAAGGAAAAGTCCGCACATGTTCACCACAGAAGCAGTTTTTTCTACTGAATATTTCTGGTCTTTGATTAATTGAATTCAAGGATGAGGAACCCATGGCCAACAGTGCATGTAAAATAAAATAGGCCTGTAAGGTTTACCAATATTTTCCAGATCACTTTCACTTTCTATTCTTCTAAACACCATCTTACACATGAAGTTCTAGAGGGTCAAAGAAATAAATGGTCCCAACAGAGTTTTGAATCCCCTTCCTTCTCCCCACCAGCACACATCCCATTGTCCTCAGATGGCAGCAGGACTTACTGGCTGATGAAGTCCTCAGTCTTCCCATAGACACGGATGGAGCTTAGGCCCTGCAAGGAGGTGAGGATGTGGGAGAATAAAGGGGACCGGCTGTAGTTTTCCAGTCTCTTAAACACATTGATGGCTCTCTTGAACATCCTGCATGCAGATGAGGGTGAGTGAGAGACCACCCACCTGTGGGACCACCCAATCTGGGTTAGTCCTGGTCTTGCACCCAAGCTTCAAACCCTACTCATAAGCACAAAGAACCTACTCACACATAATAAATAAGGCAAGCAATGACTATAATGACTTCCATCAACAGGATGTATGGGGACAGCACGCTGGTGACCCCCAGAATGGGGGTCACCATCAAAAACAGGAGCAGGAACTCCTCAGCGACAATGGGCAACAACTGGTCCAGCTCATCCAAGTCCCCCAAAAAGCAGTTCAAGAGTCGGCCTATTGGAGTTGTGTCAAAGAAACTCATGGGGCAGCGGAAAACCTGCAGAGACAAAACCCACCAGACCATGAATGCCACTTCAGACCTCGCTTGGGAGTGCATAAAGAGATTTGTTACCTTTGGACTCTGAAAAGGAGCAAGATGAGGGCTAACAGCACACAGAGGAGGTAGCCAATAGGCTCGACAGCCCATCTGCCTACACAGCTGTGCTACCCAGCTCCTCACCTGTTGCTGACATGGAAAGCTACTTAGTCCCCTGAGTCTCAGGTCCTCATTTGTAAAGTGGAATGAGAACAGTGCTTCATACACAGAGTTGTAGTGAGGACTGCACAACTTTGCAAATATAGGGAACATTTATGAGCTGTGCAATGTACAGGGGTGAATATAACAGGACGTAAATTATATCTCAGTAAACAAGGAAAAGGCTCAGAACAGTGCCTCCTCTGGTAAGTATTCCATCCACACAGACCAGTGGTGGTGAATCTATGGCACACAGAGCCCTCTCTGTTGACAGATGAGCCAAGTCACCCAGCAGCCAAGCACTGGATAGCAATTTTTTTTTCTAAGCTAAAACTTCAGTACTAAAGTTTAATTGCACTGTCGGCACTTGCAAAAGTAAGTTTTGAGTAGTGGTTTGGCCACTTGGTCTCTAAATGGTCTGCCATCACTATATAAGCTCTCAGTATCTTCTGCAGAAGGGGCCTTCAGGATTACCAATGACAGCAGCAGCAACACCCCTGCAGTTGCACGAGCCCTAACCATGACTGCCTCCTCCTCTTGAAGGTAGCACCCCAACTGATCTCTAAATGTCAGTGCATACAGGCTCTTTGGAGATCAAAGAACATTTCAAACAGGAAGGGATCTAACATAAGCATCTAGTTCCCTGCCCATTTTTTAAAATTATGTTTATTAGTACATTTGCTGTACATAATGATTACATTCATCATGAGTCATTACATGTATATAATACATCCTAAATTTTTTAATTCCTCTTGTGCCCCCCCATCACTAATTCCCCTTACACATCCCATTCCTCAGATGGCAGCAGGACTTACTGGCTGATGAAGTCCTCAGTCTTCCCATAGACACGGATGGAGCTTAGGCCCTGCAAGGAGGTGAGGATGTGGGAGAATAAAGGGGACCGGCTGTAGTTTTCCAGTCTCTTTTACACATTGATGGCTCTCTTGAACATCCTGCATGCAGATGAGGGTGAGTGAGAAACCACCCACCTGTGGGACCATCCAATCTGGGTTAGTCCTGGTCTTGCACCCAAGCTTCAAACCCTACTCATAAGCACAAAGAACCTACTCACACATAATAAATAAGGCAAGCAATGACTATAATGACTTCCATCAACAGGATGTATGGGGACAGCACACTGGTGACCCGCAGAATGGGGGTCACCATCAAAAACAGGAGCAGGAACTCCTCAGCAACAATGGGCAACAACTGGTCCAGCTCATCCAAGTCCCCCGAAAAGCAGTTCAAGAGTCGGCCTATTGGAGTTGTGTCAAAGAAACTCATGGGGCAGCGGAAAACCTGCAGAGACAAAACCCGCCAGACCATGAATGCCACTTCAGACCTCGCTTGGGAGTGCATAAAGAGATTTGTTACCTTTGGACTCTGAAAAGGAGCAAGATGAGGGCTAACAGCACACAGAGGAGGTAGCCAATAGGCTCGACAGTCCATCTGCCTACACAGCTGTGCTACCCAGCTCCTCACCTGTTGCTGACATGGAAAGCTACTTAGTCCCCTGAGTCTCAGGTCCTCATTTGTAAAGTGGAATGAGAACAGTGCTTCATACACAGAGTTGTAGTGAGGACTGCACAACTTTGCAAATATAGGGAACATTTATGAGCTGTGCAATGTACAGGGGTGAATATAACAGGACGTAAATTATATCTCAGTAAACAAGGAAAAGGCTCAGAACAGTGCCTCCTCTGGTAAGTATTCCATCCACACAGACCAGTGGTGGTGAATCTATGGCACACAGAGCCCTCTCTGTTGACAGATGAGCCAAGTCACCCAGCAGCCAAGCACTGGATAGCAATTTTTTTTTCTAAGCTAAAACTTCAGTACTAAAGTTTAATTGCACTGTCGGCACTTGCAAAAGTAAGTTTTGAGTAGTGGTTTGGCCACTTGGTCTCTAAATGGTCTGCCATCACTATATAAGCTCTCAGTATCTTCTGCAGAAGGGGCCTTCAGGATTACCAATGACAGCAGCAGCAACACCCCTGCAGTTGCACGAGCCCTAACCATGACTGCCTCCTCCTCTTGAAGGTAGCACCCCAACTGATCTCTAAATGTCAGTGCATACAGGCTCTTTGGAGATCAAAGAACATTTCAAACAGGAAGGGATCTAACATAAGCATCTAGTTCCCTGCCCATTTTTTAAAATTATGTTTATTAGTACATTTGCTGTACATAATGATTACATTCATCATGAGTCATTACATGTATATAATACATCCTAAATTTTTTAATTCCTCTTGTGCCCCCCCATCACTAATTCCCCTTCTTATTTGCAAGGATTTATTTCCCTGTACCTATAATCTTTTATTTCACTCTTCATTTGATCTTAGCCAAAAGGCTGAGAAATGATATCTTTTATTTTACTCTTTAAATTATACAGTAACTCTCTCTAACTGCTGATCACAACTAGGACCCTCTTCAGGTGGAAGTAGCCAGAGCTGTCTTCACCCTTTGCCCCCTCACAGAAGTTAGGGGTAATTCTTCAGAGGGGGGAAATGTTGCAGATAGGTAAGTTAATTAGATATCTTGTAGGCAGTTAGACAGGGCCACCTTCAAGGAACCAACACAGCAAGGAGCCAACATGGAGGACAATCAAGACACATTCACTGAAGGCCAGAATTGTAAGAGCTGAGAAACTACTATACTTTTGTGCTTCCCTGGGGATAAATAGCAGTGATTGATATTCCAAATAGGTTTCATTCACTTGGGTGGGGGCCAAAGTCTTAACCCAGCCTTTCCAGGAAATAGCCCTGACTCCCATCCTTACTGAAAATCCTTCTATGCTTGCTATATGACTTGCTCTCCCATTTGATTCCCATTTAATCAATATTACCTGGGTGACTGTACTTGTAACCTTATTGGTTGGTCATGGTTTTACTCCACCTCATGCCCCCCTTGTAATTTTCCTTTGGGTCTTATAGTTTTGTCCCACTTTGTACCTGCCTTACCACATGACTTTGCTGTATAAAAATCTTTAAGAAGTGGGATGAGTGGGCAACCCACTTTCCAGTCCCCCTTCTCTCTTTGACAGAAGCTTTCTTTTGCTCAATAAATCTTTCCTACTCTTAAAAAAATAGAAGGATAAACTTGAGTCATTTGTAGGGAAATGGATATAAGTGCCAAATGCAATGCTGAGTGAAATAAATCAGACATGATTTATTGGTATTATTTCTCTCATTTGAATAAGGCAAAGTACAAATAAAGATCAGAATAAAAGACTGTTAAAGGAAACAGAGTTAGATCTTTTGCAAATGGGAAAGGAACCAAGAGACTCAGGGTAGGGGGAGGAGGGGATGAGAAGGGACCATAAAAAAGACTTAGGGTCCATCATGTACATGTACCAACTACCCACAATGAATGTAATTTTATATATTACAAACATGAACTAGATGATGATGATGATGATGATGATGATGATTGTGGTGGTGGTGGTGGTGATAGTGAAAAGGAATCTAGAAATAGAGAGGAATGTTGGTGGAGAGGAGAAAGAGAATCAAGATATGTTAAGTACATGTAGCTATACCCTAAGATGAATGTAAATATTATGTATTGCAAATATGCACTAGTAAAACAATTTTAACCCAAAGGCAAATTTAAAATCAATAAAGCCATAAAGGATCAGAAGAAGAAAAATATTCTAAATATGAAACACTTTCTAATAGAAAGAAATTTTAACTCACCTTAAAATTAAGATACCAAGAACTTCCAGAAAGATAGCAGAGCAGTAAGCAACAACAAATCAACCTCTCCAAGATTCAGAATCCAGACACTGGAAAATAACAACTTGGAGTAGAAAAGAAGGAAGGAGATAGATCCCTGGGATCCAGGAAGGATCCGAAGGAAAACTTGACCCCACAGGAAAAGTAAAGAGACAGACCTCAGTGTAGAAAAAGGAGAAGGCAATCTGCACTTTGTTCCCTACTCCCAGCTCTCTCATAAGAGAGGACTGAATCTATAGAGACACAGCAAGGGTGGGTGGCTCAGAGGCCTCCAGGGAGAAATGCACTTGTGGAACAGAGCAATGGATGCTGTGTGCTACAAAAGCTAGTGAATGACTTCAGTCCAAGTGACTGCTGTGTCCCCTGGAGAGAGTGCTTGGTTAGATGCCATTTTAAGGAGGCGCCAACTAAACCTAGGACTGAGAGCAGCCATGGGTTGGCTTCATTTCAGGCCCCCAGTGTAGAAGTCCCACAGTGACTGGGTGAGGGACGACTGCAGGAGATGCTTAGGGTCAAGGAGCCATGATTAGGCTGGCAAGAGACACAAAGTGTGGCAGGATGAACAACTCAGACCCAAACCCTACCATCAGAGACCAGGATCAGCTGGAACTTCTTTAGATTTGAAAGTACCAGAAATGGCACCCTGACCTAATTCTACTGTAGGCCAGATGGGATTATCCAGCTCTGATTATCTCCTTTATCTACCAGCAAGAGTAAAGTCATGCCCTGAATTGGAAACTATATATATGTATGAACCCTACCATCAGACCAGGATCAGCCTGAACTTCTTTAGATTTGAAAGTACCAGAAATGGCACTCTGACCTAATTCTACTGCAGGCCAGATGGGATTATCCAGCTCTGACTATCTCCTTTATCTACCAGCAAGAGTAAAGTGTTAGTTGTTGTTGTTGGTCTGTTCTTTCCTTCTTGTCTCCTTCACCAGTTTCCCAGAGCTTGGGTAATCTTTCTTTATCCTTCAGTCTTGCTTCTGCAAATGCTCCTGATGCCATGATGTTCTGCCTGGCCTCAGGCCCAAAGAGAAAA